TTCACGAGTTGTATACAAAAAATAGTTACAATAAAGGATCTCCTTCTTCCCCCTTTCTATTCTTCTTCCTCTCTTCTTTATTTCCCTTACCCTTATTCTCATTCTCTCTTTCTCTTTTATTTTGGCGGGGAGGGGGGGGGGGGGGGGCCAAGCACACTCCTTCCCCTGGATCCGCGCCTGTATTTCAGGCTTTTCTTGAGCGTTTTTAAATAAACCACGTCCGCCTTCTAATGTTAGCTAGTATGCTTTGAATCTTACCTAAACATTGAAAATGGATAATTTTGTTAATATTTTCTCTTCATGTGTAGCCTGATAACCCAGGCAATACCTCATTTGCACTCAACCATTAGAAAGAGAAGACGATAGAAGTCAAGCAACATAACATATGGAAAGATAGAATTATCTGGCGGCCGCCAAATAATCTAGCTATATTTCCGTACGTTATGATGCAGATAGAAAGAGAAATAAAACAAAGAATAACATGAGAGATAGAAAGAGAAGATAGAAAGATAAAAACAAAGAATAATGACAGGAAAGAACAGAAGATAGAAAGGAAAACAAAGAATTTCAAAATGAAAATAGAAAGAGGAAATGATAGAAGTATAAAAGCAAAGAGTAACATACGGAAAATAGAAAGAGAAGAAGGTGGAAGGATAAAAACAAAGAATAACATAAGAAAAGGTAGAAAGTGAAGAAGATAGAAGGAAAATAACATAATCATGATAAGGAAAGATAGAATTATCTGGCGGCCGCCAGACAATTATGACTTGGTTCGTAAGTATATGTAAATTGTATTGGAATGGGAACAATACAGTTCAGTTCATCTGAAGAGAGAGAGAGAGAGAACCCCTTACACATCAAAATGTGAGCCGAGCCTGAAAGAAACCGGACTTCAAGAAATCTTTTATGAACAAATTCTAAAGGTCCCCATATTTCAGAGAGCCCGATGACGAGGGCGCTGGCCGGGAGATTAGAGAAACAATACACCTTTTATGAACCAATTCTAAAGGTCCCCTTAATGGTATTTACTATTTGGAAATTATTTAACGGATTAAATACTGATTGCATATAATGCTTGATAGAATCTTGGGGTTTGGGTACATTTTCTGATGCAAGTTTCACGTCAATTATAGGACAGGAAGCAATGTGTTTGGAGGTATCGTATGTTTATCATGACGCCGAGAAAATATCGATTTGGAAATTGAGAGAAAATTTCATGTACATCGTTAATTTATCCTTTGTGTTATGATGTAAATCCTACTAACATCGTTTGCCATTATGGATTATTTCGGATATGAGAGATTGTGAAAAGAGTAGAAGAAAGAATGAAGAAAACATTTTGCATGAAAAAGCGGGTGAAAATGGATGCAAAACAACTGAATCGTTTGTTCACTCGCCCCAAAGTAGTATTAGTCTGGAAACGCTTGTTGCATTATCGGCGGTATAACTTCAAGGAAACACTGATAATAAACGAAAATACCCGATGTTTGTGCAGATTCTAATTTTTCCAACACTATATAAATGTAATTATTACATATGCACAATATACACATGTTAAACTACATGTATACTTCCAAGGGAAAACATACAACAGTCTTGCAATTTGGCATGTTTTTAAAAATGAACTGTGTTTGGATAACATTTCAGATGTTATATCAAATGACCTTCAACATTATAGCCCTTGATTTTATCTTATTGTGAAGATTTCAAGAGATGAGGTGTAAGTTGAATGTATATTTCAGTATGAATTATTTGTTGTAAAATGTATTTTATAACCGAATAAATACCTCTGAAGAGGAAATAAAAATAGAAAAAATCTCTGAGTAATAAAATCTGACCAATAGAATTAGGCCCACCGGGAGCTTCGAACATGACCTTGATATTGCATACCAGTGAGCAAGTTTTGTTTGTTTATTTATTTAAATACGGTGATTAAAAAACATGATTTCAGCTCTGCATAAACTGTTTTTCAGCATGTCCGTACATGGTACATTAAAATACATATGAATACACTTAATCATCAATATTCATGAGCGCATAGTCACGCGCGGTGTGAAGTTGGCAAGGCTCCAAGAAGTAAGGTCTTAGCGTGGGAACCATAACTTTCTCCCTGCCTGGGTGAGACCGTACATTGCGTAACATGCACTTTCTCTGTCATCAAGTCACTCAGCAATAGATTAAGATAAGAGTCAGTCGTTGAATGATATAATTATGTCAACAAGATAAGAGATACCGTAATTTGTTTCTCTTGAGACTTGGTGGAATGTGACAAGGGCCACGCGAGTGGAATAAATCAAGTTTTAATAGGGTTGAACTATATTTGCGATATTTTCTTAGTCTTGCTTGCTATTATATTATTAAAAAATTTGGTCTTGCTATATATATTACTCAATCATACTCGACAGGATAATACGAAAATGATTACTTACTCGATGTCATTGCCGACAGAATAATAGGAAAATTATTATTTAACTTGATGTCATTGCCACCAGAATGATACGAAAATGATTATTTACTTCGATGTCATTGTCGACAGAATGATAAGAAAATGATTCATTAAATGATGTCATTGCCGACAGAATAATAAGAAAATGATTATTAACTTGATGTTATTGCCGACAGAATGATACGAAAATGATTATTTACTTGATGTCATTGCCGACAGAATGATACGAAAATGATTATTAACTTGATGTCATTGCCGACAGAATGATACGAAAATGATTATTTACTTCGATGTCATTGCCGACAGAATGATACGAAAATGATTATTAACTTGATGTCATTGCCGACAGAATGATACGAAAATGATTATTTACTTCGATGTCATTGCCGACAGAATGATACGAAAATGATTATTAACTTGATGTCATTGCCGACATAATGATACGAAAATGATTATTTACTTCGATGTCATTGCCGACAGGATGATACGAAAATGATTATTTACTTCGATGTCATTGCCGACAGGATGATACGAACATGATTATTAACTTGATGTCATTGCCGACAGAATGATACGAAAATGATTATTAACTTGATGTCATTGCCGACAGAATGATACGAAAATGATTATTTACTTTGATGTCATTGCCGACAGGATGATACGAAAATGATTATTTACTTCGATGTCATTGCCGACAGGATGATACGAAAATGATTATTAACTTGATGTTATTGCCGACAGAATGATACGAAAATGATTATTTACTTCGATGTCATTGCCGACAGAATGATACGAAAATGATTATTAACTTGATGTCATTGCCGACAGAATGATACGAAAATGATTATTTACTTGATGTCATTGCCGACAGAATGATACGAAATTGATTATTTACTTGATGTCATTGCCGACAGCATGATACGAAAATGATTATTTACTTGATTTCATTGCCGACAGAATGATACGAAAATAATTATTTACTTGATGTCATTGCCGACAGAATGATACAAAAATGATTATTTACTTGATTTAATTCTTTATAGATTAGCAAACGTGATTCCTAGATCTGCATGAGGCTTTATAAAATATGTCATTGTTACGTCACAATACAGCTTTCAATGCGTGCGCGATCTTAGCTCACCACGTGCGCGCTTTTAGCTAACCGCGATTTCTCACCGTTCAGAGAAATCCGCGCGTGCGCTCTCTCTTGCTAACCGGTTGCTCACCGTATGCTCACCGTTTGCTCACCGTTTGCTCACCGTTTGCTAACCGAGACTTGGCGGTGAACAACAAAATCATGGAGATTAACCTCGGAGGCTAACCGAAGGACATTGCGCACCAAACCGTTACCGAACCGATGTGCCAAAACCTTTGAGCGGTAGTGTACATGTATCTGTCTAATTCAGATTCCAATTTCCGATCACTGCAATACTAGTTTTCGGCCTGGCGAGCTCCGGGGAGCTCCGGCGTGGGATACCTGCTCCGCCCGCTAGTGCTATAGATCAGTGCGGAAACGCACGGGGCACGTGCGCGCTTCCTATTGACTTTGTACATGCGGCCGAAAACTTGTTTCGCTATGCCGATAACTGCCTCCGAAACAGTGAAAATTGAAATGAATATTGTCATGGCAATTCGTGATTTTTTTCTGGGATTCTTTTTTTGTTTAAATAATAATACTATTTGCTTCATGATTTGAACAAAAAATGATAATAAATAGGAAGTAAAGGGTCCAAAAAATAGGATTTTGTCTTAAGTGGCCGAAAAAACCCCTCCTTTACTAGCTCTAGGTCTAGATCTATGTCCCTTTAGCAGCCAACCTCAAATTCTGTAGAACTTTGCAGGAATTATGAATATGTCATGTATGTCCTAGTCTATCTGTGAAATTTAAATGTTAGCGGTGTCCTAATATCCAAATTATGCAAGGAAACCTGTTTACTTGCTAGACTTCACTCAAGTCGTTATTTTCCCACTTGAAGACATTAACGAGCCCCACCTTTTTTAGGGAAGTTCTAGATCTAAATTAGTATTATCTTTCAAATGCCATTGGAATTAAACCTTTTCATTTTTTTGGCCTGCAAATGGGACATAGATCTAGTACCTTTAAAACAGATCACCCAATTTTTGTTGTTGTTTTAGTTTTAAGGGCGTGTGTCATTCAATTGTCTTTACCCCGCGCCCCTTTTCCAAATGTTTTCCCCCTCCTCCTTCTTTCGTTCACCTAACAAGTAACATGCTTAGCTTAAGTTCTTCTCCTCTTCCTCCTTCTCTTCTTCCTCCTCAGTTAGCAAGGAAGCAAGTACAATCAAACTACACGAGAATAGATTCTAAATTTTGCCATTTTATAGGTTTATTGGCGACTGTACATTGCATTGCCATTGCACAACACGAGTTTGAATGATTTCTCTCGCGCAATATTGCCAATGGACAATGGCACTACCACTGCACAGCAATGCAGGGATGAGTCGAGATCGAACGCACAGCAAACGGTAACACACATACAAACCAACAACAGACATGCACAGATTCGAGTCGAGAAGAAAAATAAAATACGTACCTTGTTCAGGGGTTGGCGTTGGTGTGGGTGTTCCTGTGACAATCACTAAGAGACAGCATACAGTGAAAGCAAATACACATAATGTTGTAACTTTATCCATTTTGAGTTGTTGTTTCTTCACGAAAATAGTAAGATAAAATGAGATATTGTTCACTACTGAATTACTCGTCGTACTCGTCAGACTTTCACAACAATAGAATAACATTGACTGTATCATGCGCGGACGTGAGTGCTAGTGAGATACGATAATGCAACCACTTCCGGGTGGAAACCGATCCTCCGTTGGTGGCCAAATTATCAAACGATATTTGTGTTCCTCATCACGTTTCATTCGTTTTATGAAGCTCACTTGTAATCACTATGAACATGACTGACAAAGAAAGCGGACAAAATATACAGTACCTCAGGTAGACAAAAGGAACATCCCTTCACTGCTATTATGTAAAAATTTGTAGAACAGGTGTCACATGCATATTCACCTTTTTACATAATGGCAGTGAAGGGATGTTCCTTTGTCTACCTGAGGAACTGTATATTTTGTCCGCTTTCTTTGTCCGTAATATTCATAGTGAATTGATTGATTGATTTAAATTTTTCATTCGTCATTTATAAGTACATTTGCATTTAAGAGAGGACGATAAAAAAGTGTACATCTTGACAGTTAATAGGATGACCCATGCAAGCTGATTACCATAGCTTATAGTATACCAACGTGAATGGAACACTAAGGCCCGAATTCACAAAGGAGGTTTAGATTTAACCCAGGCTAAATCTAACCCTGGGTTATTTAACCCAGGCTAAATCTAAACCTCCTTTGTGAATACCAAAATAATGACCCATGGTCTAAAGCTCGGTGTTATGACGTATTATGACGCGTTAAACCGTGGGTTAAATTTAAACCTCCTATGTGAATTCGGGCCTAAGAATATAAATAGATAGTTGATAAAGTCATATACTTTTCGATGATACGAGATCTAAAAAATATTTAGAAAATTTTACATACAAGAAATAAAAGGAAATACATTGATTTAATCTAATATCCATACAGCAACTGCAGATCGTTGAGGAACTCTTTTTTAAAACATAATTGTTTCAATATCATATTGCTCCGGTTGTCTCATTTTCGCTCGCTGGACGTTTATAGCAGACGACAATCGGCGGATTAGACGACACTTAGTGAATTTGTATGTGAGATTGCTTTCAATATAAAATACAAAAAGAGCTACGGTAGTGATAACGTACGTAGGGGTGGATGTGCTTTTCGTTTAAACAAAAAATGAATTTTTAACGATATTTTTTGGTGTAAAATTCCATAGGCTAACATGTTAGGCTGCTGACTCTGACGACTGAGGGGGCGTTGTCAAATGAGAATAAACGGAGCTTTATGACATTTAAATTGTCAGGACCTTGTCCAAGTCGTTTGGGAAGAACCAATGGCGCTCAATGGGGGGGGGGGGGGGGGGGGGGGGGGGGGGGCAGGTGTGCAATTTTTCAAATTTTCGATGGCCAAAAAAAAATTAGTGCTCACTACCTCCCAAATTGATTTCAAATTTGGGCACCCCCCCCCCCCCCCCTAAGAAATCTTGGATCCGCACCTGACAAGAACTACTTGAATCTGGTATCATGATAATGAACATTAACAACACGAATGAAGAAAGAAGGAAAAGTTGTTTAATGATCTACATGATGTACCTTTATTTCCTCTTGGAAAGTGGCATATTTTCTTCACTTTTTCATGTTTTTAAAAAAAAAATGAAATTTAGACCAACGTATAATACATAAAGAAAACATCATACTTCAGCTCAAAACATAATAAAAAGAGAAGGTGATGACGTAGAAGAAGAAGAAGAAAAGGAAGAAGAAGAAAAAGAAGAAGAAGAAAAAGAAGAAGAAGAAGAAGAAGAAGAAGAAGAAGAAAAAGATGTTGAAAGAGAGAAAAGGGAAGGAGTTGGTAGTTATCCCGTTTATTTGCAGAGAGAACATGATTTTAAAATGTGTATGTCTAGAAAGATTTATTATAGAAGGCTAAATGATAACTACTGATTTACTTAGGCTTATAATGATACTTTACAGTCATGATTGCTTTCGTCTTACCATATATGAAATCATATTTTTGTAAAGTTGTGTATAACGACATCATATAGAGAGAGAGAGACAGAGCGAGAGAGAGCAACGAGGGAGCAAACACTTCGTTTATATTGCTGAAGATCATCATTTCAATTTACAGTGATGTAGTGATAAATTAAATATCTAACTCTCAGTTCATGTTTTTACGGCACTGTTTATTTTCATAAATGTATATGCACCATTCCCCCCCCCCCCCCCCCATAATTAGACTTCACAGTTGTTTGACGATAATTTATAATGCCTTTTTCCATATCGCAATCATTTTGTGGGAGCGGGGAGATTGCTGGCGTATCTACGGGGGCAGAGCCGGAGGCGCAAGTGCAAAAAAAAAGAAAAGAGAAACGGAATAAAAAGGAAGACAAAATGATTCTATACGCGCCAGCAAAACAAAGGCATTAGAAATAGAGTGTTTAAAGGTTTTAAATGTTTTTTTCTCTTCATAAAGAAATTTCGCTTAGTCCTCGACAAAGTTTCCATCAGTGACAAGGATGATCGGGGGCATATTTGGTATCGAAAGGGAACTACACTGTCGCTCATAAAGGTGGAATATTTTTTTTATCCCAATTTATGGAATTATTTTAAAAATTATTTAAAAATAATAGATCTAGATAATAGTACACATTCTCAGATTTTATTGAATAATAATTTGCCAATGTGTGTTTTGCGTGACTGCTAAAGCATGTGTATGCTACTATGCTTATCAACTAGGGGACCTATGCCCTAAGTCATAAATGACAGTAATGAGGATTAATGCCCCACAAAAGGGCACTAATATAGCACATCGACACGGTTTTGATCCTGGGGCCTCACAGTTACGAGGCCATTGCTTTGTCATTGAACCATGACTGTATACACAGCGGGGGCTAGGGTAGGGGGCAGTTTCCATAAATTAAAAAAAAAACACAGAAAATTCAATAAATTTTCAAAAATTTATTGCATTTTACCCCGGTTTCTAACATAAAAAATCTTCTGTGTGCCCATGCCTTGAGCAATAATGCATGGAAGTCCAGAGAATTTTTTTTTTATGTTGGGGACCGGGGTAAAATGCAATAAATTTTTGAAAATTTATTGCATTTTCTGTTTTTTTTTAATTTATGGAAACTGCCCCCTACCCTATAGCCCCCGCTGCTTACAGTCATGGTTCAGTGACAAAGCAATGGCCTCGTAACTGTGAGGCCCCAGGATCAAAACCGTGTCGATGTGCTATATTAGTGCCCTTTTGTGGGGCATTAATCCTCATTACTGTAATTTATGACTTAAGGGCATAGGTCCCCTAGTTGATAAGTATAGTAGCATACACATGCCTTAGCAGTCACGCAAAAAACACATTGGCAAATTATTATTCAATAAAATCTGAGAATATATTCTATTATCTAGATCTATTATTTTTAAATTATTTTTAAAATAAGAAGGAGGAGGCCCTTTTTTCTTTTTTTTCCTTTCAAAATGGCCGCTCTGTACATTTTACCTTTTCCCTGACAGGTCGGGCTATTTTTCAAGATGGCCGCCGCCGACATTTTTTTTTTTTTTTTTAAATCAGAAAATATATTAATAGATCCATTTTAGCAGTGTTTTTCATGTTTTTTTTCTTTCAAAAAAAAATAGGAGGCGGCCCTTTTTTCTTTTTTTTTCTTTCAAAATGGCCGCTCGGTACATTTTACCTTCCAAAAAGGAAGCATGCGGGGACGCTAAACATGTATATTTTTTAAGTGGCCTTATGATAATATAGGCTTCATGGGGTCGAAGGGGATTCTTTTAGCAGTGGGGTAATACATGAGTCACGGGGCCTATTAGAGGGGCACACGTTTCCTTTATCGCAGTCATAAGTCATAACACGGGGTTTTACAGTAGTGCGGCGTAGCTCGGAGGCGGCCAAAATAAAAAGAAAGAAAATGGAGAAAAGAGAGAAAGAATGGAAAACTGACGAGAATTAAAGGAGACGCCTGGACCACTTCAATGTCATCAATCAGGGTGGACCTCCCTTTAATTAACATGCATCTAGAAATTGAATTCTTAATTGCACGTGAGCTTGAGACTTGACACGATTATCGAATATGAAAAGGGATTTGTTAATGCTTGTAAAACGGGTACTTTGTAAATAGGGCACTTATTACGAGGCAGAGACATATGGCACTAATATCGGCAACAGATTCACATTGCAGTTGTAAAAAAGTGGCCCTCTTGGTGTACTTGACATAAACCATGATGGATACTCGTCAGTGAAATGGCCACCACCAACATAAAATATCCATTCGCGATCCTGATATTATTATAATTTATTATCGATAACTTCCATAATTTCATTAAGTATCGCATTTCAACATCGGAATCGGTGGGAGGTTCTCAAGAAGTTTGTTGCCAATTTGTTCACTACGTAAGTCACATTAATTCAATTACATACTATCTTAAAATGGTACATTACTAGAAGTGGAAATTAAAAATCAAGTGTATTCAGGAATTTGTGTATGTATTTATAAATACAAAACAACATAACTGTCTCCTTATGTTTGCACTATGATAAAAGTGAAAGACTCGAAGGGGATTTCCCAGAATCGTGAACGTGACGTCATAATCCCCAGTGGAGCGCGCGGAAAACTGTTTAATTTAAGGCTAGTCAATTCTTCTGATCAATGTAAGTTAAGAAATGATTCATTTAATATAATTTTTACATTACAGTCCTCGCATGGAGCTACTCAATCTGTTACATCTGCAAAACTTTGTAACAGCATTTGCAGTTGCAAGCAGCATAGACCTATAGCTAGTCACTGGTCGGCTCAGAGGCAAAGCCAGCGCCAGACAAGGGGCAGTCTGTTCGCGTTCGCTGACGCCGCCCCGAGCGTTCCCGCTAGAGCTCGGCGTAGTCGCTGCACTTTCGCGTGAGCTGAGCTGAGCTGAGGCATGGACTCGTAGATTAATCAATGCCAGTGATGGCTCGCTCTTTCCTTCTTCTTCTTCCTTTTAAGTACAGACCTCTTTACAGAGTATCGTACTATACTGGGGGTGTGTGCAGGTGGACCACTACACCGGGGTTTCCCCCTACTCTTATACGAATAGTGCAGTGAGTTCTTAACGTGCAAAGGTAGTGACTCTTCTCGACAAGGGGCCTCCATTTATAACGTCCTATCCGAGGGACGGAGTGTTTTCCACTTAACATATCCTGCGTCTATGAACAAGGGAAGGGGCACGTTAACACACAACGCAGGCTTCAGTCATCCGCCTGGGTGGGAGTCGAACCCGGGATCTTTATTTTGACAGGCGGACGCTTTACCGACTGAGCCAACTCGCCTCCTTTTATCATAGCATATCAGAGTACATGTATTTGATCCTAAAGTGAACTATATTGTCATACAAACACTGAATTAGGCCTAGAGGATCTGTTTTTATTTCCTTGAACTTTTAATTCAAGTGGATCCTCCAAGTCCAAGAAATGAACGTTGTTTGACTGATACTTTTAATAACTCTAATAATAATTCTAAAACTAAAAGGAAGTTCTTGTCTGGAAATTTGATAGGATTCAGCAAACTTTCAGGGTATCTAATGATCACTATAATATCACTGTACATGAGGTTTATGTACAGAGCGAGCACCGGTACAAACTGCATGTTTTTGTAAACTAAAAAAACAAAACTTCTGACATTTCTAAATGATTCATTTTATCATGTAAAACTATTACAAAGAATATTTTGTTGTCTACTATTTCATTTCATACAGGGATAACTTCATTTTAAATATTTATCATTTATGATTTGTAGGTTAAAACACCTATCAATGGCTTCAGCAAAGAGAGTCGTTCCTCGTGTTCTGTTGGCCTTCGATTGCGATCATACCATCATCGATGGAAACTCGGACACGTGGATTATTTCTCTACTCCCGGATCACACCGTACCCAAAGACATCAAGAAACGATACAAAACAGAGCACAACAGCTGGACAATCTACATGGGTGAGATCTTCAAGTACATGCACTCGGTTGATATCGGGGAGGCGGCTCTCCATGAATCTATCGCAGGAATACCCCTGACTCCAGGCATGAAGGAACTCTTTGACTATCAAGCATCGCGTCCGCAGCTGGACTGCATAGTTGTATCAGACTCCAACTCGTTCTTCATAGATGCCATTCTAGGATCGCGGAACTTTCAGAAAGGGTCAGCAAGATCTATACCAACCAAGCGGAGTTCGACTCGGACGGTTGCCTGAAGATTCATTTTTCTAACCCTCACAGCTGCCCTCGGAAGTGTCCCAAGAACCTCTGTAAGCAGACATGTTTACAAGCTTTCGTCATGGAGCAAAAGGCAAAAGGTGTCGAGTACGACAGGATCTGCATGATTGGAGATGGACGGAATGATTTTTGTCCTTGTTTTTGTTTGAAGGAAAGAGACTATGTTTTCCCTAGGAAGGGGTTCTCTCTTGTCAAGCTTCTTCAGGAACAAAAGGAAAAGAAAGGTTCTAACGATGAGTGCATTAAAGCAACGGTATTACCCTGGGACACCGCCACAGAAATCTTAGCTGTTGTAAAAAGTTTCTTTGAGCATTGACACAGGACCCCATTATTCATAAAAGGGTGATTCCTTGTTATGTGCTACTGTTCCTGGATCAAGAAGGACAAAGAACTTGTAAATTTACATTGTAAATGCCATTTAGACTACAAAGTGATGAAATCAGTTTGAATAGTATCCTTTCATTCTATCTCTTTTTCATTTCCTTTTACTATCATTTAGGTAAGTATTATTAAAGTGAACTGGTAATATTGTTGAAGTTTGATGAAAAAACTGTAATTTTTTTATGAAATGTTACATTATATTCCTTCTACTGTACTAATCCTCTAACATGCCAAAAATTCTAACCACAAAGATATTTATGGTTTTCTTTGAAGGCGTGACTGCGACACCCTCTTACAGTAAATTCTCTCAACTACTTTTTGAATTTTCCACCCGTTTTTCCATGAAAATAAGACATAAAACAGGCTTTTAATTTTTGTTCAACACTTAAAAGTTTAGAATGGAATACAAAGCCAATTCATTACTTTGTGACGATTTGCATTTACTTCAAATTAAATTATAATAATATAGTTGGGAGAATTCATGAATCGATTAAATCAGTTTTTCCCAATTGTTATCATTATCATATGATGGTCTGTTTTCACTCAAACTTTCAGATTATCTT